TCCCAGGGAAGAAAGGTGATGTGCAACTGGGGAACTGCCTGCCACCAAGCTGGCTCAGGGCTCCCTGGTGACTCTTTGGACCCTGCAAGCTCCATTTGCCATCAGACAAACAACTGGAACATGTGGGGTAGGAATACTGGTCCAGCACAGGGCTCAACCCACACAGCAGAGCCCTGCACACTGCTAAGCTCTGTAAAAGCAATGCCTGCCAGCTGCATCGCAGGTTTTGAGAGTAGCATTACTGGGGAGATGGCAATAAGGCCTGGAAAAGGCTTCTTGGGGTGCAGGTTCCCCTGACAGAGGCCTGGGATGGACCCAAAACTCCTGAGATGCCGATTTGTATTTCACCTGCCCTCTGCACAGCCAGACATGCCAGAACCATCCTGACAGGGCAACAGCACCATCTACTGCTGCAGGAACCAGAAATGCTGCTCACCCCAGCAGCACTCTTACTGAGCACAGCTCCATCCAGCGTGTGACTTCTGCCTTGTCCTGGTCATACCCTGTAACAGCTCCATATCCACGAGAAAGTAGTTCTCTCTCACACCAGAAAGGGCTGTGGCAGGGTAATGCTTTTGTAGCACCATAAATATACCCCCCTTGAGGACAGAGCTATGGGAAGGGTGGTGGGGGTACCCCATCTCCCACTCCAGATAGAAGGCACAATGGACAGCCAGAAGCAGATCAGCTCTCCTTTTCTCCCTGCCCAGGCACATCCAGAGCAGGTTCTTGCTCTCTTTCATGGAGTGACAGCAAGAAAAAGCCTTGGTTTGATTTATTTAACCCAGATTAAGGGACTTTCTCATGTCATTTGGCACAGAACTAGGATCTGAACAGAAACATGCTCTGCCCTGCCCACAAGACCCTCCTGCCTGTCTCTTTGGCAGTTTTACAAAACCCGGGGTGGATTTGTCAGGGCCCCTGGCGCCCACGGGTGTTGCTCAAAGCAGGTAATGGCTGCTATAAGTCAAGTGTGTCTTTGGTCTGGCCCCTCATGCCCACACATATCCCTGAGCCTGGGGCAGAATGTTTGGTCTCCTGACACCCATGCTTCGCTCTGGCCCTGTAGAAGATGAAGGGATCAGCTTTATTCACAATTTTCTTTCAGTGCCTCTTTTGAATGCCTGCAGCTGGTTGTCCTGTATCCTTGTGACCTCCCAGGGATGTCTGTCCAGGGCCTGAAAACCCGACTAAGAGTCCAGAGGAGCCTGATCTTGCTGGGAGCTCTATGACACTACTAGAGCCCAAAACAATATCTTTTGTGCTCCCTCTTGCTGTAGTGAAATGATGCTGCTTGGAAAAGACTTTCACCATCTATCTATCCCCAACACCCTCCTAGTCCTGGACATGGGTGAGCACTGGGTGAAGAAGGAGCATGGACATGGGGCTGGACATTGGAGGATGCACAGAGGAGCTTCCCTCAACATGGAGGAGTGAAGAGGATGGAAGCAACAGGACCATACAACCTGACTCCTAGATGAGTCCCTCATCTTTAACAGCTGATGGAGAGGTGCTCTCCTGCTCTCACAGAAGCCATTTGGGCCACTTGGGAAACCACTGGTTTAACTGGAGAACATGGAATCCCATCAACTGCGAGAGCAGCATGGAAACAGCTTGAGGAGAGATGGAAAAGGCAGATGCCACTCGGAAGGACCTGTCTGGAGGGAGGAGTCCCCCACAGAGAAGACCTGGAACCCATCTTATTCACTATTTGAACAAAAGCAGCTGTCCCACTTTTTAGTGTCACAGAGGCCACAGGAGACCAGATCCCACCCACCTTGGACAGAGACCATGTCAACATGGGAAGGGACAGAGGAGGGCAGTGGGTGCTGGCAGGGCAGGGAGACCTTCCATCCCCAGGGCAGACAGCCCCAGTAGTGGGCATAACCTCTGTGAGGACATGAGGAGCAAACACAGGCAGGGTACAGAACTCTTGAACAGCAACGCTAGCAACAGAGCAAGGATGATGAACTGGCCACCAACATGCACCAGCTGGAAGATAAAAGTCAAGCCATGAGCTGGAAAGGGCTGGATCAGCCTCCTCATCCAGCAAAGCTGAGCTGCCTAGTCAGGTTATGTCAGGAGCTTCATGCCACTGTGCCTGGGTCCACCTCCGTGACTCAGGAGGCTCTGACGGCTCTCTGATCTTCTTGTAACTCTGCTCTGTGGCACCTCAGTGGACCCAGTGCTGCATTCCCTTCCCTGGGCACCTCTTGCCTACCCTACCTTACATCCTATCCTATCCTGCCCTCCCCTAGCCTGTCCTACCTTACGTCATTGTGCTGCTGAGCCAGCCAGCCCAGAGCAATGCAGGTGACCGTAGGCATCTCTGAAGTTGCCCGAGCTGCTCATGGTTCTCTGGACATGGTACTCATGACCAGAGTGGGTTATATTACCTTTGTCTCGGACAGGAAAAGGTTATGGTCTGTGGCAGGCTTCATTAGCCCTTACCAGTGCACCCAGCCTAGGAAGAAAGTTTAGAAGGAGGGGTGAGAAGGAAGGGGACCAAGGCAGGACACAGGCTTTCCCTTGCTGTCACTGGGTAGGGTGGTGACCATATCTCACAATCCAAAGGGTCTGGCAGGTGAATGAAATCATTTCACCTTTTGTGCCTGCCCGGGAGCTGGTGACCAGGCCATGGTGAGCAATGCAGGGCACACGGTTCCCCAGAGAGGGATGTGCCACAGATGACAGCCCCACAGCGTTATACACGGGGAGCCACATCACCCCACCGCTGTGTCCAGACATCTTTGCAAGACAAATCACTCCGGGTTTTCCCTTTCCTGAGGCTCTTGGATCTCCCTCTGCCCCTGCAGGGGACAGTGGTGTATCCCCCCCAGCTCCAGCTGCAGGGATGCACGGTGTGTGCAGGCGTTTGCCCGTGGGGAGCTCTGGTGGGGGATGTTCTGTCCCTGGTGGGTTCAGGGACAGCCTGTCCCCACGTAGACCCCAGAGCTGCTGGCAGAAGTGCGGCCCCCTCCCCACGGCCCCGCGAGGTGGCAGCAAGGGTCCACGGAGGAAGCAGAGAGGCTGGGAGGCTGCAAGCTGCTCTGCCTGGCTGCCGAGAGGAGCCAGCAGCTGGGCAAGCTGAGGTTGGCCTGGGAGAGGGGGCGAGACCCGGCCTGGGGTGGTGGAATGCCCCTACAAGACCTGCATGTAGGGCAGACTGGGAGGGATCCCCCATTCTTTCAGCACATCCAGCCCATGGGTGACCCCATGGTGCAGACTTCAGCACAGGGGACATCGCCCAGCTCTGGAGGGATGTACCTCAGCCCTGGAGGGGCAGGACCTCTAATAAATATTCGGTCCCCAGTGCCTTGCTCAGGTTACCCTGACATAAATAGGGGTCTGTGTTCAAAAGGAACTCCGGTCTGTGTCCGTGCCCAAGGCCTGTGACCTGGCCCCAGCCTGATCTCTGCCACCATGTCTTGGTCCCTGGGACAGGAGGAAGTGCCAGGAGCACTGCAAGGAGCATGGGGCAAGTTTGGAGGGGGGCTGAAATGAGTAGGACTGTGTGATGGAGAAGCTGGATGAAGCACAGGGCTGGATGCTCCCTAGCAGGGCAGTAGTATTTCAGTTCAGCCTAGAGACGCTGTAGCACCATGGTGTGAAATGCATCCCACTGCAGGTGCTGAAATGAAGCTTTTCCACCTCTATTTTTACTTTTTTTACCCCAACTGCTCCTTTAGGCAAAATAATTCATTCCTTGGACCTGCACTAGGGAACCCAAATCCACTCAACTCTCACAATTCTAGAGAATCTTTTAATCTGCTCAAATAAATACTCCCTGAATACCCTCAAAACACCTGGCCTCTTTGGCTGCTGGTTCCCAGATCAATGGGCAATGGAGCTCACTGTTAGCCCAGGGCTTGGCCATTGTGCTCAGCTAACTCATCCACCTCCCACCAAGAGGTGAGGACAGACCATGGACTAGGATGCTGAGCTCATCCCACCTCTGCCTCTCTCTACCCCTCTGCCCCTGCCCCTGCCCCAGCCCATGAGGCCACTGACCCTTATTAAAGAGCCCTATAACCTGTCCTGTGTCCTCCTACCACTAGCCAGAGGTCTACACAGAGCTGAGTTGAAGCACATCATCTTGACAAACACCTGGTCTTCCTGCCTGAGCTCCCCACACCTGGAAGAGCTGGTTTCCCCCCAACCCCGACACACAGTGCCTCTGGACTCTCCCTTCTCTTCTGCTTCCAGCCGCATGTGCTGCCCTGGGATGCTCTGCACCAAGCCCACCACACTTGTGGGTTGTGCCCACCCCCATGAGAGCTCCACCACTGCTTGCCCATCTCACCTCAACCCAATCTCTGCCCAGGTCTGTGGTGCAGCTTAGGTACCATTACTTACTGCACCAAACCAACGAAGAGCCCTTGGGGATGGAGGCAGCCCCACCGACACTGGAACACAGCCCTGGATGCCAGTAATGTCTGTGTCAGGCTGGATCCCTTCCCTGCAGCAAGTGGATTCACACTGATGTAAGAGGGTATTAAAGTTTGGCTGTGGGTTTGCAGAAGGAGGCAGTATGCCAGAACCACCTCCCTTTTCCATCCCCCTCCTTGTAATGGACTCAGGATGTTAATTAATAGTTAATTGCTTATATTTTGCATCCCTCTAATGTCTTACTGAGGAGCCTCAAAGCACTTTTCAGACACTGTCTATGATCCCCTGCTTTGAGAGTGCAGAAAATGCAGTCCAGAGATGTTTCAGGAGCTTGCTGATGATCTAAGTCTGGATCAGCAACAGACTCCAGTCCTGGGTCCCTGCTCCAAGCACCAACTCACCCTGCCTCTCCTGCCACGCCACTGGACTGCCTCCCAAAACGCGGCCTTTTATACAACCCTTCCAGGCAAGCTGCCTAGAAGTCATCTTTGCAGGGGCCCAAGGCAGGGAAGCAAAGAGTTAAACAATATACTGATAGACTGGTGAGATCATCGGAGCTGGGATGCGCTCCATTGTTTATTAGACTCAACAGAGCCCAGTAGACAACATCCACAGGGATGTGGGGATTGGGGTGAGCCTGGCTTAGGAGAGCAGGACCTTCTGCTGCAGTCCATCCCACTGCCGGTGGGGTGGGCAGCCATCCCTCACCACTCGCCGTGTAAGTAGGATGGATTTCCATGGGTTTGGCGTGGGGTGTGGTGGAAAGGGAGAGGGGATATGGCATGGCAAGGCTGGGAGTCTTCCTCTTGCTGAGCCCCGAAAAGGGACTTTCAGATGTTCTTTGCTCAGCAAGACCCTGAGCGTGTTGCTGGGACCATCTAAACTCTGGGCGATGCTGGAAAGCTATTCCCAAGGGCTGCAGGCAGCTGGGCCCAACCCCTCTCCACTGCACCAGCAAATGGACACTGGCTCCATCTCAATTTACATCCAAGATCTGGTGGGGCTTGTAGGCAACGTGAAAACCCCTTGTTACTCCACCACTGGTCTCAGAGCAGAGCTAGACAGTTTGCAGGGATGGCTGCCCATGTAGCCACTGCCAGCCCCCTCCTCACTCTGAGGTGAGCAGGGGTGTGGGGACAGGAGGAGAAAGGATGGGGCTTTAGTACTCATGCCTGGCACCCACACAACTCTCCCTGTCTTCTCCCAGAGCAGAGACTGCTCAGCCCAGCAGCATCCAGCCCTCCTGGGGCTGACACACAGCAAGAGAAAGCTGGATACTCCCAGCCACTCCTCTTGTGCCTGCAGGAGCTGGTGACTGGGCTCCTTCTCGGCGTGCTCAAGGGGATGTTTAATGCAACCGGACGCCTCACCTCCCACAGCGAGCCACGACACGCCGGTGACAGCCCGGACGACAGAGGCACGGCATGGTGAGTGGGCTCTCAGCGCTCGGTCCCTCCCCAGGGGATTCCCTGCCCCGACACCCGCGCAAGGAACCGGGTGCTGTCCCCCATCAGCACCCCCCCCCCGCATGAAAATCCCCCGGGGCGTGGGCAGCGCAGGTCCCTCACCTCCACCGGGAAGCAGTCCCCTAGTCCCCAGCTTACTGGTTTCTTGGGGTCCAAGGGAACAGTGGTTTATTGAATATACATCTCACTTCTATTCACTCTGAGCCTGGTTGATAGCCACTCTCAATCCAATCTGGCCAGCACTAAGCATTTAACAAAAAGTTTCTGCAAAGTGCGTGCATGCGCATGTCTGGCAGTGCAGCAGCCTCCTTTCCCACCCATCCCACAGTCACACGAGTCCTCTAGAGCAGCTAACCCCTTCTGCAAGCAAACATGGACCCACAGCTGTCATCCGGGGGGGTGTCCTGTACTGAACTTAAGCATCAGGACTGATTAAAGGGTCAGACTGAGACACCCCAGAGCAGAAGGAAAAACCATGCCCAAAAAAACACTTGTCAGTTTGCCTCCATTCCCCAAAATTATGGCTTCCTCCCAGCTGGTACCCACCTGTGGGGACTTTGCTGCACCCCCCTTGGGGTGGCAGGTACTACACGTCTGGCTGAAGGACAAACAAACCCTTTGGGTCTTACCCCAAGGCTTGAAGCTGCCATTTGCCAGGGGACTGCCCCAAGCCACCTGGAGGCCACTGGAAACCCCAGAGAGCCCTGGGGCAGTAGGAGGGTCTGGGGTCCCTCTCTGTGGAACAGCTTGTGGCTTTGGTGGGGCACTATCTAGATCTTAGATGGCCAGGTCTGGGGTGGGTGGAGGAAATGTGTGCACATCTGCATTCAGGTTACTTCCACCCAACTGCTTCATAGCACTGGAGCTGCCATTCACCAAATCCAGTGGTGGTACTGGTGATGGGCAGGCCAGAGCTCACTCACTTGGTCTGCCTGGGGACAACAAGCAGGGTCTGAGCCCTCAGGAAAATCCTGGCCAGGCCTGGGCCTCAGTTCAGACTGGTATCTTTGCATCTCCCCAGGATAAATCAGGGTAAGCCACATCCATGGAGTGCAGAGCTCACTTTGTTTTTTCCTCAAAATTTTCTTTTCCATGATGGTTGATCCCCAGAGGGATGTAGGGCTGGAGGTGAACCTGTCTTGGGAGAGCAGGAGCTTCTGCTGCTGCCTGTCCCACCCCTGGTGCAGTGGGAAACTTCCTTCAGGGAAGTGGCTTGACAGCAGAGAAGATGGCAAAATATATCCATAAACTTGGCCTGGATTTCCAGCAATATTTAGCAGTTGGTTTGCAAAATCCTTAGCTTTTCCCACAGTGATTTTTGTGGTAAAACACAGGGCAAAGACCCCAAGTGCTGCAGCTGCTTTGCAGCACCCTGCGCCCGGGGGCAGGTCCATGTTTGCCCCCACCACTGGTGATCCATGGGATGACACCCGCTTAGTCCCAGGGCAAAGACCAACCTGCCAAGCTGCTCAGTACAACCATTGCATCTTCAAACACGAGCACATCTGTGATGAATCAAGGATGGAGCATGGGCAGAGCAGGATACTTCAGGATACTGAGAGGGGTGTTCATGAGGAAGAGCCAGATGGAGATGGATGCCAATCCCTGGGGGGAGACTGTCCAAGCTGGGGAAGCTCTGGCATCCCCAGCCATGCAAAGTGAGAGGAAGAAGTGGCAGAAATTGTTTGCAGTGAGGACTGAAGGGGTGCATGTAAAGAGCTCCTAAAGAATCCGGACTACCTCCTCGAATAAAAAGGAGATGGCCAGGCTGAGGACTGGATTGGAAAAGTAAATCCAGCCCTTGTATTGCAGGGAGGACACAGGCCTGTGCATAGGAGCAGGGTCTCCAGATCGGGCTGTTGGCCCACTTTTAGCACAGCTCTGGCCACACCTGCAGGCTGTTTGCAGCATCCCAGGTGCTGGCTGGGATGCCAGTCCTGAGAGCTGCTGCTGCTGGGGGCTGGCAAGTGAGGAATGCCATCCACAGCTGGGATGGGCTGAGGCACCCGGGGCAGAGCCCTTGGCTGCTCTGTTCAGTTCAAAGCTCTCTCCTCAGCACCACCACGAAATGCCCCCGAGGTCCAGTATCCAAGTGTGTGCTGCGCTGCTTTGGTACTGGGGTCCCCAGTAGCACCAGCAAATGGGCACCAGTGGATCTCCCAGCCCAGAAACCAAGCACCACCACACAAAGCACTGGGAGAGCAACAGGAGGAGAAATAGAATCACACGAGGCTCTTATGGAGGGGGAAAAGAAAGACGCCAGTGTTAGTTCCACTGCCAACAGCTGCCCAAGATTTCAGAGGCGGCAGCAGCACAACACCAGACGTGAAATCTGAGATGCAGTCTGGAGGCATTTTCAAGCCAGCAAACAGTCATCTGCTGATGCTCTCCTTACAACAATAATGATTTAAAAAATTGGGAGAAATCTGATAGCATTATCCTGCCAAGCTGCTCAGTACAACCATTGCATCTCCAAATACGAGCACATCTGTGACGAATTAAGGATGGAACATGGGCAGAGCAGGAACTGAAATTGCATTAGCTTTCCCAAGAGCTGCAGATACATGCAGTGCTCACAAGCAAACTCCTGGCCACTTGCAGGGAGTGAAATCCTTCACTAGCTAACAGTGGGGAAAAATGTGACCAAAAAAAGCATGCTCTGTCAGGAAGCAACAGAAAAATAACCGGTGGGAATTGTGGTGAGACGGGTGGTTATGTCAGAAAACAAAATGGGGGAAAAAAATCACTCTAGTGTAAATGCAAACCTGAAAGAAAGATGATGGTTTCTGCAGGAGCCTGGCATTAATGCTCTGAAAAATAAAGAGGAAGGTGCTTTGCAGAGCTCAGAGTATCCCTAGATATGGAGTCAGGGTGGCAGCACGCAGGCAAGCAGAGTGGGGTGCCTGAAAGCTGGAGCAGGACAGACTGCATTAGACTGCTGAGATATGAGATCTGGGCATTATTCCAAAGAAGAAAGAAAATTTCCAGCCACAAAGCCAAATTAAAATTATACAGTGGCTTGATCATAAAACCTCTCCACAATGGATGTTACAAGGAGAAAGCCAAGAAATGCCATGGCTACCTAGGATGAAATTTCAGGAAGAGCCTTGCAAAAGATATGAGCTAGAAGAGGGGGAATCACAACCCAGCAGTGCCACAAGCAAGGCAGCTGGTGGACAGGCTGCACACGCTGGCCGAGCAAGGAGTTGTACCTGATCACCTGCATGTCTAACACTGCTGTAGCCATCAAAATGGTCTCTTGTGGTAGCTTATGCTTTTCCAAAGCCAAGGGATCAGCATGGTCCACTGCAATCAGTCCAGCTTGCAGAGACAGGATTACCAGCTCAAAAGGAAGAGAAACAGAAACCAGATCTTGCTACTATGATCAAACTTACCTGCCTTGTCAAGCATTTGATCATCCCTGATCAAGTGCTGTAGAAGACATGTCAGGATAGCAGAAATGTGTCCCCTCCTCTGCACCCATCCTTCCCAGTTCAACAGTGAGGGGTGAAAGCTGAAGATAGGAGGGACACAAATCATGTCCATTGTTCTTGGCTTTCATTTTTCGCTTGTAGGTCCTAGTTTGTCAAACCTGAAACATCACAAAACACATTCGTACCATCAGACCTGCATTTCTGCAACAGTGCCTGTGTCGGAGGGACTAAATTAAAAAATTTCATCTGTTTCTTTTCAGAATAAACCACAAACCTTGTCAGGGGACACAGGTGAAGGAATAAGGGAGGTGCTGGGCAGCACCCAGCCATCAGCAGCACTAGATGGGCACTGGGCCCGTTATGGTCCAAATACAGGCAGGTTTCCTTAAGACGGTGCCTCTGGAGCTGTGCCAGCTTTGCAGCCTCTCTGCGGGTGCCCTTTCGTGGCACATGCTCTCACAGTCATCAGCAGCCCTGGGAGAACAGCCGGGGCCACTGGGCTTCACGCTCATCTCATCTACACCTCGTTGCTGCCCGCTGCAGCCACAGGCGTTCCCGTGGCACACGCTGGGTGCAAATCCAGGCTGGTGTCACGCATGATGTGCATCTCCTGGCGAGCCATCCCCGGGCCAGCAGTGGGTTTGGGTGCAGCCAGGGCTGGACTGAGCAAACACGCAGCCGGCGATGCTGTGAGTGCCAAATGAGTGTCGAAGCAGGGTTTTAAATCGACTGCTCCAGATTAAAGCCCACTTAGGCTCGAAGCTTGTATAGTGCTTAGGAAGAGCTGGGCTTGACAGTGGAGGGGACACAGAGCTCTGGTGGCACTGCCCATCCATCTGAGATGTGCCCAGGCCAGAATGGATGTGACTTCTCCTTGACTGGTGCCCTGCACTGGGAGCCCCAGCAGGGACAGCGCTGGGGCTGGCAGCAATCTGCTTGGTGGTGCTGGCAGCAGGGCGATGCAGGGGTCCTGGGCTGCTCCAGGCCGGCACTGCTGTTGTATTCCTGCTGCAGAGCATCCCCACGCCTGAGCTTGGGGACAGCCCAAACAACCGGCAGAGGACAGGTCAGTCCCAGCCCTCCTGACACCGCCGAGCCCCTGGGAGAAAACCTGGCAGCTCAGGCAGGAGTTCACTTTACAAAAAAATCTTATTCCTGGGTGTGAAGCAACCACATCCCCGGCCTCTCCTGCCCTCCTCAGCCTTGGTACCTGCATGGATTCATCTCTCCCGGGCTTCCAGCAGCAGGACAGACCATGCATCAGGAGCACTCCCTGACCCAGCCTCCTGCCCTTGTCTCCTCAGCAGAGCCCTGAGGAAATAGTGGTTAACATAATGCTTGGCCCTTCCCATTTACCATAATGGTTTCTCCGTGCTAAAGGCACTTTGTTTCTGGGAAAATATATTTCCTCCTTGAGTTGGTGAAAAAAATAACGTGCCGAAAAGCCACGCTGCTGACCCAGCCATCGCAGGGCAGACTGTTTCAATGTGCTTCTGCTACCAAGCTCAAGAGCTCTCCCACAGAACCCCACCCCAGCTTACAACTGGAGAAATATTCCTGTGTAAGGAGCATTTCCCCATCCTCCATCTGTGCATTGACACAGGAAATGAGAAGCTCCTTTGCTGTGGCTACAACAAGGCTGACACATCTAGGCTGGATGTGGCAGCGAGGAACATCCAGCCCCAGGGGCCCAGTGGAAGCACGCAGCCAGTGGGAGGGTGATGCCTGCTCTTCCACCGAGCAGTCCTGACACAGCACACCCACACCTCAGTTTCCCCATCTGCAAGAGGGAGACCTGACCATGCCACAGGGTCCTGAGGTGTAATTTGGGATCTGGGAGGGAAAGCAGGTCCAGGGATGCAGCCAGCTTCTCCAGCCCTGTTTGAAACACCCTGCTACTCCCCTGAAAGCAGCCAGGAGCCCTGGAAGGCTCAGGGTAGTGGCACATCTAGTCATTCCCACCACCGAATCCCTGTGGGAGCTGGGAGCTGGTGAGCTGGACAGTCCAAGGACAGGGACAGGGACTATGGGAGTCCCACTGTCCATGGGTGGGCTGCAGGACTCCACAGGCATCCTCGGTCCAGCCTACCTGCAGGTCCCAGTTGCCTATTCCTACATTTCATTGATCTCATAGGTGTGATGCTCTTCTCCTCCCTGCAGTGACCCTACAAAGCCTTCTTCACCTTAATTTGATTCGTCACTGTTTAACGGAAAACACCCAACACATCCTCCATCACTAGCCCTGCTCTGCTCTTTCTCTTTTGTCCATCTCAGGTCTCCTCCTCAGATCCCGTTACAATGGAAATTCCCCCCAAGAGCCCTGATGGGAGTGAGAAGTCTCCTCAGTCCAAGGAGCTGCTGACCAGTAACACGGCCAGCACCCTCTGCATCAGCTCCCGGAGCGAGTCTGTCTGGACCAGCGCATCCAGAAGCAAGTGGGACATATACCACAAGCCCGTCATTGTCGTGTCTGTTGGAGCAGCCATCTTCCTCTTTGGGATTGTCATCACCAGCCTGTCTTGCATCCAAATCAAGAACAAAAACGTCTACAAAATGTGTGGCCCGGCTTTCCTGTCCTTGGGACTGATGCTTCTCGTTTGTGGCCTTGTCTGGATCCCCATCATCCGGAAGAAGCAGAAGCAGAGACAAAAGTCACAGTTTCTGCAGAGCCTCAAGTCTTTCTTCTTTAACCGCTGAGGGCAGACCAGGACCTTCCTGGGAAGGCTCCCCTCCCCTCTACCCACCTGTGTTGGTTAGCCATAAAAAGAAACAAGTTCTTGTACTCTCCTAGAGGGTTTCATCCCAGTAAGTCTCTTCCCTCCAGGTGAAACACCCTGCAGCAGCCTCCAGTGTGAAAATGAACTTTGTATTTCACGCCAGGAAAAAAGAGAGCAGGATTTTGCAGCTACAGCCATCAAGGCACATCTGAGCTCTCTGCATCACTCTCCTGTCCAATGAGCAACCCAACAACACTTATCAGGGAAAAGCAAAGCTCCTAACTTGTCTCCACCCAGTAGCTTCTGCAAGATACATCAGCAGGGATGAGCCAACCGACTACAGTGTGAGGAAAGCCTGGTGTGAACATTGCTGATTGCAAACTGCAGTTCAGATGTAGAAACTGGGAGGCCAGACATGGTTCATCCAGAGTTAGTGGAGAGGAGAAGGAGGACAATGTAATTCCAGACCACTTTCTATCAGAGGAGGCCACCAGAACAGACAACACACATCACCAAAGCTTAGGAAGACCAGATGCCGTGCCCATGGCCAGAACTTCCCCATCATTGATCTGTTACAGTGGCTGGCTGAGACATGGCTGCAAACTGGAGCTCACTCCTTGCTCAGCATGGAGCATTTGCAAGCTTTATTTATTGCTGGAAAGGGTGAGGGGAAGGAGCAGAATCACAAGCATCCCCTCTAGCAGAGGGTGTTTAAGAAAGGCTGCAGGGGCAAATTTGTTTGCCACATGTGTCCATTTGCCCTGCTGTTATCTTCCAGAGCCACCCATAAACCCTAACCATCAGCTTATTCGTGCAACCAGAATTGGACCACAGGCAAGAGAGACAGGTTCATTATCTCCACCATTCCCTTTATGCCTTTAATAAATGCGTGCCCTAAAGCAATTCACCAAGGAAAGCACAGATCCTTTCCGCATGGTTTTTGCTTTAATTTTATATTTTCAGCATGCCTGATTTACTTTAAAAGACAAATGTGAAACACAAATTCCCAGTCTGAAGAACTGGTTTCAGTCTGGACAGCAAGATCTAGGTTGAAATAAATAGGCCCATAATGTCCAGCTCAGAGTTCCGGATTCAGGCGCTGGTGAGAGTCTGATTTTTCAGAAGTGCTGATCCAGTCCGGACCCCGCATCTTCATCGGTCCGGTGAGACTCCCCAGCACAGTGAGCACTGGCTCAAAGGCCCTGACACCCGCTGCGGGGTGAGGATGTGGTCGGTGCTGATCAGAAGCCGAGGAAGAGCACAGAAGATAAGACCCCACCAAGCTCCTCTTTGTAGCCTACACCTCCTCAGGGAAGCCGAGGCAGACCCGTTGCTCTTCCAAGTGCCGTGGGAGGCAGAGAGGCTGGCAGGAGGTGCACTGAGAGAATTTACAATGGGTTTGCTCTTTGATTTCAGACAGACAGGGTATGATAAGCTCCATCAGATGCTGACGAGAGGAAGCTCATGCGAGCCCTCAGCTCCCTCTAACCCAGTATCTCACATCTCCCAACAGCTGCCAAGGAACTCTGGAGAAAAGCACAAGGACTGGGGCACACAGACAATAGCCCTTCTCCTGGTTAGTGTCCACCTCCCAGCTAACAGCAGCTCAGGGCCAAGGCAGACATCGCTCCAGACCGCTGTTTACAGCCACCAATACAGCCAACATGCCCACCTCCTCCTGTTTTGACCACTTTTTCACATCAGTTTGTACTTTCATTCTCTGCAACATCCTGGAGCCACAATTCCTTCAAGGTCTCTAATTTTCCAGACACACTGGAAGCTCTGCATGGCATCAGGAGACACGGCAAAAGCAGAGGGCAACAGATCCTGCTGCTCGGGGCCAGCAGGCACCCAACAGGCCAGTTAAAAGGGAGATGTGTTCTCCGTAGTCAAATATCATGAATCTGTAGCTGTGGGAACTGTGCTCAGGGCCGAGAGCTGAGTCCCTGTGGGGAAATATTAACCTCCTCCAGGCCATCTCTGGCTGAACTCTGTTATTTCTGAAACTGGTGCCACATCATCATTTCTGCCTGCAAATATGGTCCAAGGTGCCCATGGCCCAAAGCCTTCAAGTGGAACCATTTGTGCTATTGCAACCTGGCTAACATGATTAACTAGGGACTCACCTCGACACTGCTGCCAGGCTCCTACCAATATGTGACCAAGGCTGGCCAGCGTCATGTGCCTGGAGATCCCCTCCACCAGTGCTGGGAGAGCTTGAGGAGGCAGCTCCCAGCCTGGCACCTGGAACAGCTGGATTACAAGTATTTGAGTAACGCCCATCCCTTTGCCCCAGGGTTAGCCTGGTCCTGAGTTTTGTTTCCTGGGTGGTACAGACGTGTGTGTTCCCAGCCAGACAGTGCCAGGTTTGTGAATGGGGTGTACAAGGTGTATGAACAGTAAAACATTTGTTCCTTGGCCATTCATTATGTTGTGCAACGTTTTGCTTGGGTTTGCAACCCTGACATGGCACCAGGCAGCAGTCTCTATTTATTTAGCTGTGCAGAGAGCTCACCCAAAACTCCTTGCGGGAAGCTGCAGTCAAAAGAAGAGACAAACATCAGGACTCATGAGGGGGAAATCATGGAGCAATGTGAAGAGCATCACCAGGTCCCAGCTGGCTGCAGCCTGCAGACCTGGTCACAGACAGGCATCCTAAAGCTGCACAGTCTGGAGGAGGCACCTGGAAATGGACCCTGCTGCAAACAGCTCTGCAGTGGCAAGAGACTGCTCAGACTGGGCTAGCTGTCCAAAGAGATGAGCCAGGAGGACTAGAAGTACCAAGTGGCCTGGAAAGAGAAAGCAGGGGTCTTGCTCTCCATGTCTCATGACTGTCAGTGAAATGTTAATATGGTAAAAAGTCACTGAGACCAAGAATCTAATGGGATTCCAGGCTGGTCATTTATGGAGAGAATATTAGGTTTAATTAAAGCAAAAATTTCCCGAGAGACTTTCACGTTTCTGCTCTGGTCTCATGTCTGTTGTTTTGTGCCTGCTGGCAGGGAGGGGAGGCTGTGCTGTAAGGTCCTGGGGGCAGATGATGGTGTGGGGTCCAGAGGTCACTGTGTGGGGGGGCTCACTCAGGACGTGGGGAGGAGGAAGAGTGGGGCTGGTGCTGCAGGTTTGTTTGGGTGCTGGCCCTGTGCCCTGGGTAGGGTCTCAGGTCTGTGGATGTTCCCAGTGGACACCTCTGTTGAGGTGTGAGGAGTACACGGGTGGCATGGGAATGTGTCTGGCAAGAGGATGGAGCCTGCCCAGGTGGGGGTAAAGGCAATAGCCCGGGGATCAACAAAACTTGCTGAGGAGAGGGAATTTATCAGGTGGATCTTACCATTTGCTGCCAAGATCAGTAGAGAGACAGTGAGGTGAAGGGAGAGAAGTATTAACTGAAGGGAAAATCAGTTTAACATCTCAAAGATCAACATGCAGATGGAAGCTCAGCAACAGAGTGGGAACCCATCACTTTGTTGCATGGGGTATAAATGCCTGATTACTGCCGGGAAGCCGGGTGGACTTTGCATTTGTGCGCGCAATGCAAATTGCTCCCAGCACTGGGAAATGCACCAGCCTCTTGAAGTGAGAGAGGCTGAGCTGGAACAACTTAGGGAAACAGAGATGCAGGGTATCCTGGAGGCTGTTCACAAGGGTTTCATTAGGAGCTGACATAAAATGCATGCCCTGCTGTGGCTCAGAAAAACCCCACAGGGCTGCTGAAAAGTGAAATCCTGCCTCTGTGCTGTGGGACCTGTCAACTTCTATATCCCGCTGCTGCGGGAGGCTGCAGAGGCAGCAGGTATCCATGGATTCAAAATGGGTTTATGGACAACAGACCAAAAAAGAGACAGCAGACACAACAGAGAGAGATGTGCCCTCTAACTTCTGTCACATAACAGTGGTGGGTGCTGGAGAAGTCCATGAGGAGCAGAGGGCACAAAGGGATGGGCTCAGTGCTGTCTGCTCCTGCCGCTGCCAGTCAGCCCTGGGCTAGAGGGACCTTTCATCTGACCATAAATCAGTTCATGGCTCGGGGTCATTCCCATGCACCCGCAAAGCACTGTTTGACAGCTCCCCAATATTCCTCTCTACTTCCACTGAAGCCTGTTTGAATCCCAGTGTGATGCTTTGGATCAGAACAAAGAAAACCATGTTTTAAGAAAATATCAGGTTATCCAGCAAACATAATTATGTTCAGCTCCACTAAAGCAAGCTTAGATGTGATCTGTCAGCTTCCCCTGTTCTATAAAAAGAACGGGAAATCCATTATAAAATTCATTATCTCTGCAGAGCAGTTCAAAGAGGAAATGTTTCTCCTGCATCTCAAAGGTCAGCCCCCAGCAAACCCACCGAGCAGGCTCAGCTGCGGGCTGACGCCCTGCTACAGGGCGTCCACAACCGTTTCTTCATTCCTGGGCTTTAACAAAAGTTAAACCTGCCCAAAGATACTGCACACCCCTGTTGCATATCTCTCTCCGAGGATGTTATGTTTTATTTCACTTCACATCAACTGGATTCATTCTAGGTGCAATCAGTAGATTTCTGCAGCTACTGCTGGGAATTGCACTAACACTAACCTCCCTCCTTCGGGGTATAAATTATTTAACTGTGGAAGGAAGCAGGTGACCACCGGTGTCTGTAAGTGCACGTATATATTCCCCTGAGAACTTCCACCACTCCTTCCTGGGAACACAGCCAAGGGCTCAAGGGGCCACGGGGGCTGATATCCCAGGTTCCCACTGAGATGTCAGCTTCATGCCTGTGTCTGGATATTAGCTGGGCCACCAGTTCAGCGTGCACCCTGACAGGCTGCTGGTGCTTCCTTGCACCATAAGGAGCAGATGGCATCCCGCGGGGCTGAACTGCAACCGCCCATCCCTCACTTAAAGCCAGCAGCAGCCCTTCCCTGTCCTTAATGAGCAGTAACGAGAGCAATAACTTTCAGAGGACTCTGCTCGCAGTGAGTTTGAAATCCTACAAAACCCCACAATCCTTCCTATTTTTGCACTAGGTGTTAGGCACATGGAAGCTCTCGAACCAGCTCAGATTTGCACTGTGGCAATGCTGAGAAGGGCACAGGAAAGCTGCAAGAGGTAGGTGTGAGTAAACATGCCCCAGCTTTGCTCCTTAAACCTTGCTAAGGGAGGAGAGAGAATGCTGCAGCCGGACTTTCACCCAAACCATGTCAGAGACAGTAACTCTGGTTATTTCTCACTCAGATGTGGCACTGCTGTGACCTGGGTGTTTCCAGGAGAGGAAATGCCTCCAGCTGTGCAATTGCTTAGAGCTGCCTGTGGAGAAGTGTACTGTCCCAGGAGTTCTCCCCAGCGGAGCTGGGTGTTGCAGCAGCAAAAATAATTCTGGTTTTACTTCCTTTTTTTTTCTTTCACTCAACCGGAATATCAGGCTGCAACAAGTCAGCACCAAAAAGGAAACTTTATTTCCAGTGATCCGACACAGGATATTTAAAGCTCTGCTCCTCTGCAATGCAGCAGCATTGGGGATGATAAAACTCCTGCTCCCTGTAGTATGGGGTTTGCAGTGTCCAGGACACCATGAACACTGAAACCTCAGGGGCTTCAGAGACATTCTTCTCCATCCCAGCCTCCCCTGTCAGCATCCCTGTGAAGGAAATACCATGGATCCCAGCCTGCTCCCAAGCTGGCTGGTGCAGCATGGTTTTAACCCAGCCTAAACCCCCAGTCCTGCCATCAACCCCTGAACCACCAGGATGGAGGGGCTCCCAGGAAACCAGCAAGGAGCAGCTGAAAATTCTCACCCCCACGTCCAAGTTTTCTTGGGTCTGAAACCTGCTTGGGCCCCATTAGGGCTTACAAAACTTTCCATCCCTTTCTGTGCTGGAGCACCCTGGGGCACGGGAGATGAGGCTTGCAGGGGCAGGGCTGGTCCCAGCTGTGGGTTGGAGTGGGTCACAGCCAGAATCTCTGGCAAGGGCAGCTGCAACTGTGCTCTGGGCCACCAGAGTCAATGTAGGGGTGCTGGTTAACCACTACGGAAATACTGGGGGGGACCCCAGGCTGCCCAGCAAGCACTTTCCTGAATATTCATTTAACCAGGAGCTTCCTTTGAGGCTTCTGAGCCTCAGAGTTTAAACTTTCTAGTCTAAACTCCACCCCTGGGTTGCTCAACCCCTCTCTGGTCCAGCAATGACCTTTCCAACATGTTCCAGTCTGCATCTGCAAGGCTCCGTGAAGGCAGGTGGAGAAATTCAGCTCCTTCACCTCCTTCTTGTCCTCACAGACTCTTGCAACGGAATGCTGCATTATTTGCAGCCCTGACGTGGCTTGGAAGCCCTAGTTGGAGCCTGAACTCACCTGGGGAGAGAAGACACAAATACTTATCAGTGTACCTGTGTCAGTGGAAGGAAAGGCCCTTTCAACAGCATTTGTGTAGCCCTCGAGATGAGCAATACAGCAACATGTAACTCTGCAGTGAATGCACACAGGCCAGTAAGGCTCAATCTCTCCTAGATCGACTGGCAGTGATGCTCTGGTGCGTCTCCCCTGGCGATGGTTGATCTCCAGAGGGAAGAAGCAGAACCCTGGAGGGGGCCTGTGGCAGAAGGTGCCTTATGCCAGTCTGTCCTGCCAAGCCTTGGTACTTGACATCCCTCTTCAAATTAAACACTGACTGCAGGTGCCTGTCCCTCCGGTGGGACCCTCGGAGGGGACTGCTGCTCCTGACTGCCCCATGGTGCTGCACCGTCAACCAGAATCTCCTGGGCAGCTCTCATAGATAGTTATTTATTTTGTTTTTTATATTTTTTTTATATCTGACCAGTCTTTGTGGTGTCCTGTTTGCAACACTTCTCCCCTGGTTCAGGACCAGGAAAGATTTGCTCAGTTTTAAAGCAAAATCCTTGGGACCGTTCCTCTGCCTGGCAGATTCAGCTGTCATCCTCCAAGGACTCACAGGTGATGAAGGACAGGAACAGTTAGGCTCATGGCAGAGGGGGCTAATACTACACTATCTTCTGAAGAAAACTTGATGTACTGCTTTGAGAGACCCTCCAGGTGAGGTAGGTGAGTGGCTATGGGCGGGCAGAGGAGGGGCAACAGCATAGTCTGTCAAGAAAACACCTGTAAGGCAAAGCTGTGTCCTACCTGTCTGTCTGTCTGTCTATATCTAGCTAGCTAGCTAGCTAGCTACCTATCTGTATACACTCCCCAGACAAATAACAGTTCATTTTGATCCCTGAACAGTTAAGGCAGCCTGGTGCTGGCAGGTGCTGTGTGGTTTCAGCCCATGACACCCAGCCCAAGAGGCATGTACTGCAGTTGCCTGCAGCATCACCCACTGCTGGGACACAATTTTTCCTCTCCCTGCGGATGGAGAGCATGTTACTTCATGCAGGAGGAGGGATTGGGACTTTCCCCTCTTCTGCTCTTTCCTTCTCACCTCCTGCAGAGAATCAGCCTGTGTTTCTGATTCTGAGCAAAGCCCTTAGAGGCAGCCTCAGCCAGGCTTGGCTCCTGCCCAGCCTGCTGCCTGTCTTCTCTAGCTGGAAGGAAATATTTCATTGGAAAGTTCTTTCACATCCTTTGCCCTGGCAAAGTTTAAAGCTGAGCATAGGTATGGGAAAGGCAAACTGCAGAGCTGAAAGTAGCTCAGAAAGTCCCTTCTTGGTGCTGGTAACAAACAGTAGTCCCAAGGCTGTCTGTACAAGGTACAAAACAAGGAAGAAGAGAGGGAGATGGGAGATTGGGTCTTCTGCACTTGGTGACGTGATGGAAGCATTGAGCTGGGGAATTGAAGGGAAAATGCAGCTCTGGAGCACGTCCTGCCTGATTTGGGAGGGACCAAAGGACTCAGAAGGGCATCCCCCATGTCTGTGTATATGTGTCCCCATAGGGTAGTCTGTATTTTGGGAAAGGGTTTCAGGGGAAAGCACTTGGGGGTTCAAAGTTCCTCAGGGTTTTGGGCTCTTGTGTGTCT